TCAAAAGGCTGTATAAGGTAAGCGTATTTAAAAAATATGAAGTTGAAGAAGGACTGTAAATCTGTTATGAAACTTCTGCTTTCTCACTAGTCTAGCCAAACCTGCTAACTCACATATTGTACTTGTACTGCGTATACAGTAGACTTCCTACTGTAGCCTGCTTGGAGTTTCTGTTTACTGAATAATGACCTTATTTATTGGCACAATGTACAGCACTTGCTGTATATGCTCATGTTTACCAATGTGAGAATATACAGGTGATTTTCATCCTGTAAATATCTGTAGACACGTGCACACTGTGTCAGGTGTGTGCGCGCTTACGGCTTTCCTACAGCTGGATCTTCATGGCACAAGCATGTGCTCAGACACTGAGGGGTGTGGACGCGTGCACGTGCTCAGACACTGAGGGGTGTGGACGCGTGCATGTGCTCAGACACTGAGGGGTGTGGACGCGTGCATGTGCTCAGACACTGAGGGGTGTGGACGCGTGCATGTGCTCAGACACTGAGGGGTGTGGACGCGTGCATGTGCTCAGACACTGAGGGGTGTGGACGCGTGCATGTGCTCAGACACTGAGGGGTGTGGACGCGTGCACGTGCTCAGACACTGAGGGGTGTGGACGCGTGCACGTGCTCAGACACTGAGGGGTGTGGACGCGTGCATGTGCTCAGACACTGAGGGGTGTGGACGCGTGCACGTGCTCAGACACTGAGGGGTGTGGACGCGTGCACGTGCTCAGACACTGAGGGGTGTGGACGCGTGCACGTGCTCAGACACTGAGGGGTGTGGACGCGTGCACGTGTGAAGCTCAAGCTCGGGACACATACATGTGTAGAACATGCAAACACATCTCTGGATATGCTCATGGCTAACAAATGTGCACACACACACACACAGATACATTTACCCACTCAGGCACACATGCACAAATACATTTCAATCTGGGTGCATCCACACAAACACAAACATACACTTATACCCAGGCATAAACACAAGTACACATACAAATACACACAGCACTCATGCACTATCAGAAACAAACATATACACGCATGCATGTGTACCCACTCCGACACACACACACAACACACTGCGCACAACACACTACACGCACACACACAACACACCGCACACTACACACAACACACACCTAATTGAAAAACGATATGAAAATGTAATTGGGATAAGCTCACACAAGTATTTTACTTCGGCTTACTCCCTTTGAGCTGTGTCTACTTTTTCTTGAAATGTTTTCCTATTGGATTTTTTTATTTTTGTATGACCTGCTCAAATAAATTGATTGATTGATTGATTGATTGATTGATACGTTACTGTTTTCATGGTCCATATGTAAAGAACCTTGAGGAGTGACTTCTTTCCAAAGGCTACATATGTTATAGAAAACACTAATATTTCTTATTCTTGAACTAAAGAACCCTAATGTTTGCATTTGAGGGTTTTTCAGCGTTTGTTTACTGCACTGTGTGTGTTTATATATTTATCCATCCATTGGATTCTTCCGGAACACGATGCACATAAACACACAAAAACACATTTAACTAAACAGAGTCATCCTCTTTGTGCAGCGGCGCGGAGCTGTTCACCCACGTACAGCCTAAAGTCAGCAGAAAGTACACTCTAACAGAAGTACTATGATTCTGTGCTTTGTTTACTCCACAGACCAGAACATCAGGTGATTATGGACGTTCTACTCCCACATGTAGAAGAAGTCAAGTCTGTGTGGTTCCATCATGAAGCTACAGCTTAGAGTCCAAGACGTGCGAGCAGCTGTCTCTAAGAACCAACTCTGAACTCTGCTCGTTCAGGAGAAAGGCACAAGAACATTAACTGTCGTGAGAAAAACTCGTGAGAAAAACTCAACAAGTGCTTAAACACAATCTAAAATATGTCTCTGCAAATCCTCTGTGGCCAAATATTGTTTACTTTGATGGGAATGGCTTATAACAGACAATATGCACTATTGTTAGGTAGTCAGTTAGAAATGTTTGTAATTGATGTACAAATGTGTTTCTTCTACAGAGGATCGATGGTTTTACACTGGTCCAGACCAGAGCAGAGAGGATTCATGGTTTTACACTGGTCCAGACCAGAGCAGAGAGGATTCATGGTTTTACACTGGTCCAGACCAGAGCAGAGAGGATTCATGGTTTTACACTGGTCCAGACCAGAGCAGAGAGGATTCATGGTTTTACACTGGTCCAGACCAGAGCAGAGAGGATTCATGGTTTTACTCCAAACCAAGTGGATCAACATGATTTGTCTGGAGGTAAAGAAGTGTGAGGAGTTTTAAAATATAGCAACAAATACAAGGGGAAACCCAAATTTGGCGTTAACCAGAAGCAACAAAAAAAAAAAAATTTTTTTTAAATGTATCATGTTATATGTTGTAAAATGCAATGAAATGGCACAATTGCGTGAGAACAGGTTTTATGTACAGGTGTATTCACAGGTGTATGCACAGGTGTATGCACAGGTGTATTCACAGGTGTATGCATAGGTGTATGAACAGGTGTATGAACAGGTGTATGAAGAGGTGTATGCACAGGTGTATGAACAGGTGTATGAACAGGTGTATGCACAGGTGTATGCACAGGTGTATGAACAGGTGTATGCACAGGTGTATGAACAGGTGTATGCACAGGTGTATTCACAGGTGTATGCACAGGTGTATGAACAGGTGTATGCACAGGTGTATGAACAGGTGTATGCACAGGTGTATGAACAGGTGTATGCACAGGTGTATGAACAGGTGTATGCACAGGTGTATTCACAGGTGTATGCATAGGTGTATGAACAGGTGTATGAACAGGTGTATGAAGAGGTGTATGCACAGGTGTATGAACAGGTGTATGAACAGGTGTATGAACAGGTGTATGAACAGGTGTATGAAGAGGTGTATGCACAGGTGTATGAACAGGTGTATGAACAGGTGTATGCACAGGTGTATGCACAGGTGTATGAACAGGTGTATGCACAGGTGTATGAACAGGTGTATGCACAGGTGTATGAACAGGTGTATGCACAGGTGTATGAACAGGTGTATGAACAGGTGTATGCACAGGTGTATGCACAGGTGTATGAACAGGTGTATGAACAGGTGTATGAACAGGTGTATGCACAGGTGTATGAACAGGTGTATGCACAGGTGTATGCACAGGTGTATGAACAGGTGTATGCACAGGTGTATGAACAGGTGTATGCACAGGTGTATGAACAGGTGTATGCACAGGTGTATGAACAGGTGTATGAACAGGTGTATGAACAGGTGTATGAACAGGTGTATGAACAGGTGTATGCACAGGTGTATGAACAGGTGTATGCACAGGTGTATGAACAGGTGTATGAAGAGGTGTATGAACAGGTGTATGCACAGGTGTATGAACAGGTGTATGAACAGGTGTATGCACAGGTGTATGCACAGGTGTATGCACAGGTGTATGAACAGGTGTATGCACAGGTGTATGCATAGGTGTATGCACAGGTGTATGCACAGGTGTATGAACAGGTGTATGCACAGGTGTATGCACAGGTGTATGCACAGGTGTATGAACAGTCCTCCACAACACGGTGAAATCCTATTGTAGAAAAATGTGTACACAAATCCCACTGCTGTAAAACACCAATTCAAACTCATTCAATTCAAACTCATTCAATTCAAACTCATTCAATGCAAACTCATTCAATTCAAACTCATTCAATTCAAAAACTCATTCAATGCAAACTCATTCAATTCAAACTCATTCAATTCAAACTCATTCAATGCAAACTCATTCAATTCAAACTCATTCAATTCAAACTCATTCAATGCAAACTCATTCAATTCAAACTCATTCAATTCAAACTCATTCAATGCAAACTCATTCAATTCAAACTCATTCAATTCAAACTCATTCAATGCAAACTCATTCAATTCAAACTCATTCAATTCAAACTCATTCAATTCAAACTCATTCAATGCAAACTCATTCAATTCAAACTCATTCAATGCAAACTCATTCAATTCAAACTCATTCAATTCAAACTCATTCAATTCAAACTCATTCAATTCAAACTCATTCATTATGGTTGAAAGTTAGGTACAAATATTTCTGCAAAACAAAAATCAAACTTCCGCCTTAACCTTTTCAGTCAGAAAAAAAATAGTAATGATTGTAAAATAGTTTCTGCAGAAGAAATCAATTCCTGGGCATTGGTTCGTGGGCAGAGGAAGAGTGGAATGTCTCTGTGAAGCCGTGTGTTAAAGCTGATCTCCGGACGTCGCTGCGGCGCTAACGGACCCAGTGGCTTTTTATCACAAATAGCGTAAACAAAATAGAATGAATAACTGCTCCACAGAACGAGCGGCCTCTTATCTTCTACCACCATGAAAGCCTCTCATGCGCCGGTCCCAACACTTGGTCCATGCACTTTGGGATTATATGGAGATTTTGTTTTCTTATTTAATGCACTTGACCAGACCACTGAGCCATAGTCTGCAGAGAGAGTGACTGAATAACCAGCTTAAATGAAGTATCTATCTACATTAGAATCAGTTTAGATGAATCTGTAACATCAGCCCAGGGACTACTGCTGGATATTACCATCTCTGCTCTAACCTGGTACAAGGCATCTCTCTTTCTGTTCAAATACAGATTATGCCATACTAAATGTAGAGGAGGGTGAGCTATGCACAGCTTTTATATCACATACATTGATAAAGACATTAACATTTCCACACCATGGGATAAAAAAAACCCAGATGTGAATATGAATTGGGGCTGAATCAGGCAGAAAGAGGATATGTGTGCAGTAGTTTTGAAAATGGAATTCATTTATGGAACACGAATCTATCTGATCTAAAGTACACATTTGCATTATCTCCATGCATGTAATATATTTAGAATTATTCAGCATATAATGTATAATGAGAACCTACTTGAAAGTGGTGCAGCCGGTTTCCCCCCCAGGACACAGGTTGTGGACCATGTGCACGTGCTTACCTGAGGGATAGAGAACAAGGCGCTCATGGTCCAAGCCACCATGAGCATGACCCTGTTCCTCCTGCGGGCCATGCTGATCGCCAAAGGGTTAAGGATGGCTGACTGTCTGTCCAGACTAATCACCACGGTGACAAAGGCACAGGAGTACATGGCCTGCAGCTTGAGAAACATGAGTACTCTGCAGGCCAGGTCTCCGGCCAGCCACTGCACGGTAATGTTCCACACAGCATCCACCGGCATCACGATGAAGGTGACCAGCAGATCCGCCGCCGTCAGGTTTATTATCAGCACCCGGACATGGGATTTACGCTTGTGGCTGTTGGCGACCCAAAGAGCCGCCAGATTACACAAAGTGGAGACGCCGCAGAGGATAAATGTTGTGATGACTCTGACTTTGGCTGCAGTTGTGAAGGTGGGCAGCTGCAGAGCACTGTCCGCTGTGGTTCTGTTGCAGAACGATGATAACCAATCACAGCTGGCATTGAGGTCACAGAGAGGGCTCTGGTGAGTGATGGCAAAAGGAGGTTCACAAAGAGAAGTGTTCATTTTCTGACCCTCGCCAACGAGTCAGTCACTTATGGTCATCATAAAGCCTGCAAGCACCAGAGAGAACACTTACAACTTATGTAACATTGTAAAGATGTATCCAGGGCTGAATGGGGCCGACAAATGACATGTGAATAATGTGACATAGAAGGAGCAGTGTAAGGAACATACACTGGATAACGTGAGGCTGAGGGCACAGAAAACACTTTGAAGTCAGAATTACACAATTAACTTAAGCAGAGATGAAGGTTTTACAGCAGGAGAATGTTCAGTGCATGAAACATTAAAGTGAAAAGAACAAACTCACCTGTTTGCTGCGCTGCTGGAGTGTGAGTGTCGATCCACCGCGCTCTGCTGAGGCATGTGCTCACGTCACAGACGCACTCGGACTGAAGAGTGAGGGAGGGGGCGGGGCTTCAGCTCAACGCTATTAATGCAAATGTGTCATTTCATCACACATCCATCTGTAAGACCTGATCCGGGATCCAGCCGCTGAGAACAATATACGTTTGCATGCATTTGTTTGAGGTCCAATTTCCACATTTTATTTTTATTTAAAAACAAGTCTAATGGATGTTTTATAATGACCCTTCCCTCCCAAATTCAGTTTTCTCAAAATTGGTTAAAGGAACAGCCTTTACCGCCTTTACAAACCCACTGTCTGAGGAGCCAAACACTGACACAGAAACCACTTCTGCATAACAATCATCCTCAGAAAGGGACTCAGATTTGTACAGTACGTGATGGAAATATGCAACAATGCAAATAATTGAAGTATTTGATGTTCAGAAAACTGGATTAGGTATTCTGAATCCTGCTGCCACTCTCATCCTGCAGGCATGTAGTCCTCACCCTGTGAACAAATACACTGCAGATGTGTTTTCCCGTCACTGCATTAATGGAGTGGGACATGATGTGAGCGTTGTCGACACACAACAGGGTCCTTTGTGTGTCCATCCACGAAGGCACTTAGTGAGAAAGAGAGATTTTAAAAAGGCAAAGTTAATCGCTCTGAACTGTAGATATGCCGCAAGAATAAGAGAAGCTTTATCAAAACTGCTGATGTTTTTAACTGCGCGGTTTCAACAGAAGAAGAAAAACATTTGTACAGCTTTTCTACGCAAGAATCCTGTTACGTGCCTTGTTTAAGATTTCAACTATATCATCTTCAGATAAATACTGTTTTCAGACTTAACTTTTTAGTATAGTAAGTAAGAATAAGACTAATTTATGAATAATTACAACAAACATATAGGCCCATCGTGTTGGCGTGTAGAAGGATTAGACTGTTTAGTACTTAGCTCTCAGGTGACTTCAGTCAAAAAGCAGAAATGAAGTCAAACCAGTCCTGTTCTCATCTGCCCTGCATCAAGCTGTCATACTGTGCAGAAAGCTCTCATTCGTGCAGCAACCCTCCTCCTCCCGATCACCACCTTGTGAAGTGCTTTGAGTGACCTGAGTCTGTCAAAATGTGGTATATAATTAAGTGGTGATTTCTGTCAAACTTCCCTCTCTTCGAGCCGGGATCACAGAAGAACAAAAGTAGCTAGAAACTAACATATTTTTTATGATGAAAGTAGACAGTCCAATCTTTCAGAATTTGGTTTTGTATTTCACATAATCATTGCAGACAATATTCTGTGGGTCTTAAAAGTCAGTAAAATCATCAAAAATGGCTGGCAGTCGATGAGTTAAACATGACCTTCTTATAGCTCTTTGTTTTGAGTCTAATTATCCCGGTTTTGTGTTTTTGGTCTTCATAACTCTGTGATCTTTATCTTCACGACACACCGTTTATGTGCAACAGTTAGCATTTAGTTTAGCTGTATTTCAGTTTTTTTAACCAGCTTTAACATGTATCAAAGATTGAAATAAAAAACAAAAAAAACTGTATATTTTTGGGGATATTTTCAGAAATCTTTTATTTTCAAAATTATTTTTCTGGAAGCTCCAGTAGTTTCAGAATTTTGGGAGTCTAAAATGCTGGTGCGGTGCAGGTTAAAAAGTACCTCTCAGCAAGAAGGTCCTGGGTTCGAATCCCCGTCGGAACGGGGCCTTTCTGAGTGGAGTTTGCATGTTCTCCCCGTGTCTGCGTAGGTTTCCTCCGGGTGCTCCAGTTTCCCCTACCACTAAAAACATGTACAATAGGTCTGTGCCTCCTGTACTGGCCCCTCTCTCTGTGTGGAGTGAGAGATAAATGCCCAGAAATAAGAATTGTAAACCGTTTTGACTCTGGTCTGTGAAAGGCGGTATATAAATAAAGATTACTTACTTTTTGCACTCTCCCCAACAAAAAGAAGTCTTTCCAGATGGAACTAGCCTCACAGGAGTCTCCTATGGCTAGAGCACATACGAGTTCCTTTAAAATGAGGGATCAGAGGCTTTCTATGTTGAATAAATGTGCGATCGATCGGCCAAGTGCGGCGGGAAACAACTGTGGATGAGCCAGAAATGCACATACATTACAAACTCATTTACAGACAGAAGAGACCCGTGTCCGCCGCTCTAAAACAATGCTTTGTTCCAGTGCTGCTGATTGGTTTTCAAGAAAGAAAATAATTGGTTCAAGATGTTACACAATATATAATTTGTGCACAACAGATGCGGTCAACACAGGAGCGTGCACAGAGGAAGGATATCACCACAGGGAAGAACAGAGGACCATAGGTAACACAGAGAAACATTAAATGATGAATGAAGTGGGTCAGAGAGTTTGGGCTGAATGTCGGTGTAGGTCAAAGACTACATGCTTTTGTGATGATCTCCATGTGGGTCAGGCCGGGTTTAAGAGGCTGAGAGACAGACTGGGCCATAGATCTGAGGCCATGGCACTTGTACAATAGAAAATGAGAATCTACAGGATAACGTCAGGTAATAATGTCTGGGAAAAACACATTTATGTAACGCACATACTGCAAAAAGAACCTGATGGACTCGTGGAATGAATGGAAAATTGTAAAATCAAAATTGTAAAGTGTTTTGTGGGACCTTGGCTCGTGAAAAGTTTCAGGCAACGAGAAATGCTGCATCTCCTTGAACTGGTAAAAAACCATAGACCCCCATTCATCCTCTCGCTGCCAATAAACTAAACTAAACTAAACTAAACCCAATCTAATCTAATCTACAAAAATATCTAAAATACAAATTGGGGATAGGACCCAAAAAAACCAGACTAAAGCAGTCCCAGAGGAGATGAGGAACGGCTGCCACTATAGCCCTAGCCCAGGAGCCAGGAACACAGGAGACAGAAGGTCAGTGAGTATAAGAAAGGTAAGTAACAACAGCTCCAGAATGCAGCCGACTGAAAAATCACCGGGATTAAGACGCAACAATCTGACAGAGTCTGTCTGGAGAGATGGCCATGTCCTATTATTATTATTATTATTTTTATTATCATTATTGTTATTATCATTATTATCATTATCATTATCATTATTGTTATTATCATTATTATCATTATCATTATCATTATTGTTATTATCATTATTATCATTATCATTATCATTATCATTATTATCATTATCATTATCATTATCATTATCATTATCATTATCATCATTATCATTATCATTATCATTATTATTATTATTATTATTATCATTATTATTATTATTATTATTATCATTATTATTATCATTATCATTATTATTATTATTATTATCATTATTATTATTATCATTATTATCATTATCATCATTATTATTATTATTATCATTATTATCATTATTATCATTATTATTATTATTATTATTATTATTATTATTATTATTATTATTATCATCATCATTATTATTATTATTATCATTATCATTATTATTATTATCATTATTATCATTATTATTATCATTATCATTATTATTATCATTATTATTATTATCATTATTATCATTATTATTATTATCATTTTTAGAAAGAACCCTGTGAGTCACTTGATACTTTGGGCTGAGAGCTGAGGGTGGATCTCTCTTTCAGAATTTTCTGTCAAAAAAAGCTATTATTAAGTAAGTAAGTAATGTTTATTTATATTCCGCCTTTCACAGACCAGAGTCACAAAGCGGTTTACAATTGTTATTGTTTTTTGGGCATTTGTCTCTCACTCCACACAGAGATGGGAGCGGGGTCGCTGAACAGGAGGCGCATGCCAGAACTATTGGACATGTTTTGTGACAGAGTCTGAAAAATACTGAGTGTGAAAACAAGTGATGAAGCTCTTTTATGTTGCAATTTGAAAGTTAAGTACCCCAGCTTTAAGATCAGACTTGACTCTTGGTTTTTCTATCTCTGTCTTTGAACAGGAAATCATTCTTGCTGCATATTTCCTCCCAATGTTCTTTCTCTCCTTCGCGTTTTACAACACCTTATTTATAGCACGTGTGAAATTCTCTCGGGTCATTATTCCCATTTTCTTGTATCTTTATGGACGAGATAACACTTTTCCAGACCATATTTTGAAGACAATTCTGCAGAAATGTCAGAGGCTATATTTACATTTGAGAAGACGCATGATTCATTATATCAAAGGTGAAAGTATCCAGTGTGTGAATCCACGGAAAATCCACTCTTTCAAACACCAGCAATGAATTATTAGTATTCTTTGGACTGTTTTTGCAAATGCAGGTTTTATTATTATATTATGTTTGAGTAATGTTGGGGAAATAACACCTGTTTCATATACAAATGGTCTTTTCCATGAATATTAAGTCACAGTTTTTTAAGAAAAGTCTAATTAAAGAAGTAGATAGAACATGTGAATTCATTTTAAGCCCAGACATGAGACAAGGAGACATCAGAAGGTTGCTGTTGTCATGAAAATGTAATCGTTGCTGCACATACTAGGCCCAAACCAATAGATATAAAAAAAGGACATTTGATGACACTGAATTATAACAAGATACTGTACATACAGACATAACAGAAAATATCATAACCCAAAGAGAGAGAGAGAGAACCCTGGAGGCTCTGGACCTCAGTATTAGGCTGCTACATGTTGCTTAGAGCAG